CATTCGAATGTGTGTCCCACAAAAATTCTCATTATCGGAAAGCCACTGTGTGTTCGTCGTGTTTATTATGACTTTTAATGTTTGTTTATATATTCTCTGTTTATTTGTTCACGTTTCGCATGTAAACAAACAAGTTTCCTCCGAGCTCCTCGAGTCTCATTTTGTTCTAATTTTTGAAAATAATAAGGAGAGACAGGTGCACAGGTGAAACAGTGAAGGTCCCGTTCAAAGAATTGGTTTGTTCAATCAGTTCAGCGAAGAATACGGTACAATTTGTGCAATTACTGATTTTATGATAAAAATTATTCGAGCGAGTGCTCTGATCTACATATCTGGCATAATTCCTACATCTTTATACGTGCGTTGCAATAGTAGAGCAAGACATAGAGAGTCAAATGTCTAATTTGCACGATGCAATTATAAAAATTGTCGAATTAATCTCCTAAAATTATCTATCTTTCCTTTTCTTTACAAATAAAAACTTGATCGATTCGTGGTCCTTAAAATGCTAGCGCCGCGTAGCGACGGAATTATGGAACTAATCGATACTTTTGTCCTTATCGCACACTCTTGCGCTCGCTGTCTGCGAATGCTGACTGATGACGGTTGGTTTCGCCATTTCGCCACTATATGGCGCTAGTAGTTCGCCATGGATAGTGCTGCCACCTGCAATCTTCTCAGTTCGATGGAACTAAAAGGATAAGGAGGAATAACTCGATAGATGGTACTATATTGATTGTTTCCCTGGCTGTTATTTCTAGATGGCTCCGATAGGTGGCAGCGCCTGCTCTGTTCATAGACAAGGAGCGCAATAGCGTGCAACAAAGATAGAAATAGCGGTTATTTCCACCCTATATGGCGCTACCGTTTTAGTGATCATGTGTGGAATGTAGCATGTAATTTGTTTGTAAAGTTATGAATACAAGAGCTGATTAATATAAACTGTACATCTTCATTTCATACAAAGAATATCATCAGCAATCAATCGTTTATCATCTAGTCAGATATTAACAGCGCCAACAGCTTCGCATCCTAACCTCTTTTAGAATTCTAATAACATCTCGTTAAACGATATTGTTATTTGTAAATACTTTTAAATATGACGTCGATCTTGAAAACGTTCAACGGATATCAACTGTTCAGTAAACACTTAAAGCAAAGGTAATAACTTAAAAATAACACACAACTTATACTTAACTTCCATACTTTCGAAAAGTAAATTAATCTTAATTTCAATGCAATTATTTTAGCCTTGATATGATAGCTGTTCCTGTTCGTGGTAGACAAAACCCAGTGCCAAGAAAACGTCATCCGGAATGGCTTCCCAAACCAACACGCGTAGTACGTAGTTGGAAGATACAAATAACATTTCAATTTTTAGCAAATACTCTACATCATTGTCACTTGTATTAGCGATATAATGAAGACCTTACCCGAGAAAATAAAGAATTCCTCTCAGAAGTTGCATCACTCAACAAAGGATTACACGACATGTCTAAATCTCCGTTAAATACAGAACTTATTCATCCAGCAACATGGACTCAAAGATCAAAACGCACTGGTTTAATTGGAAAAAAAATAGGGGTATATCCATTGTGGTTGAAAAATGGAAAAAAAGTACTGACCACCCTAATACAGGTATTAAAATGTATAAAACACATTTTAATTTCATATAAACTATTATATATCCAATTCTTTGATAGATTATAGACAATGAAGTTGTAAAATATGTGCCACCAAAAGAATTCAATCCAGTTAAACATTCTAAACATCTTCATCCTAAAGTAAAAAATGGTTGTTTGGTATTAGGTGCAGTAAATATTGATCCACAACTAGTAAGTTGCGTTTTCTATCTTTGTTAATATTTACCAGTGTCTCATGTGTCTACATTACTAATTTGTACAGATTACTAAAGAATATCATGGAATATTTAATTCAGCTGGAGTTACACCGAAAAAGACATTAATGAGGTTTGTAATTACACCGAATGCTGCTCTTCAGTCAGGAACTCCTTTATGTGCAGCTCATTTTAAACCAGGAGAATTTATTGATATTCGAGGAAAAACGTAAATCTCATTTACTATTACTTTCTTATAAATCTTATATATATATAATGTATGTATGTATGTATGTATGTGATCAATTGCATTATTCTTTATAAACATAGGATAGATCGTGGTTTTCAAGGTGTCATGAAAAGGTGGGGCTTTAAGGGTATGCCTGCGTCTCATGGTATAACTAAAACCCATAGAAGGCCAGGTAATATAGGTTCAGGAGGAAAAATGGCTAGGGTAATGCCAGGTACTAAACTGCCTGGACACATGGGAAATCGTTGGCGTATTATCAAAGGTGTAAAGGTAATTTATAATCTTTATATTCTTATAACTTTTATGATTCAAAACAGAATTTTAATTCATCATTTTTACTTAGCACACATCTATTACGTTTATGATCCATTGTTTCTTTTTTTTTTATTGCAAATATAATCATTTAATTAAAAAACTAACACAATTTTGAATACATTTTTATCCTTAATTATTGTAAAATATCATATATGATATAAACAAAAGAAGTCAGAATATGGTTTAATTTTTTTCTTATTATTTTTTTATGTATAACAATATATTAAAAAGTACAATTAAATTTTTATTTTTTCGATCGAACCATATAACTTTTTTTGTTTTTAATTATATAATTAGAGTAAATATTCGAAATGATCTATCAGTATAATAACTATATCAAATTATTGTTTATACATATATATGAACACTATTTATCATAAATATTTTTGCAAATTTTATACAATGATAGTGCACATTTATTTTTTTTCTTTTTTCTTTGTATCGAGTTTTACAAAAAAAAAAATTCGCTAGTATAATTACGAAAACATATTCCATTTTCGCATTTGTTCTAAATAAAATTAATTACAAATTATGCATAACATGTACATATGCAACATTTTTATTCAATCTTTTGTAATTCTTATATTTTTATATTTTATAAGGAATCTAAAAATATTTTCCATGTAGAATGCGTTTTAGAAATAAGATATATTCTGAAATGTTTACATGAAATATTTGAAAAAGATATTTATGATAAAATATCCTCGTACATCATTAAGCAATTACAAATTCTCAATTATTTTAAGGTATATTACTTTTAAAAAGAAGATACGTTATACAGCAATGGCATTTTGAAATTATTTTACAGCTTAAAGAATGTATCTTTTATTTAAATAATCTTTTGCCATAATCATTTCTTTTTAAATAATTTGTAATCTAAATAATGTAGAAAATTTGCAAAAATAATAAAGTTATGCTAGGAATATATCAAAAATTTATCAACAAGGCATGTAATAACTTTTTTCTCTTAATATTCTGATTAGAGATATGAAAAAGTTATTAGTTATCATTTCTAATGAAAGCTCTCAACCTTAGAATTAAAAACTTAAATTAATTTTCTTATGGCATTATTTAAAGATATATCTCAATTATATGACTATACATAGTGACCTCCTATTTCATTAAGTGACATAAAAATTTCACAACTATCTTAGATTCGTAAATAAAAAAGATTATAACTAAAAGATATTAATTTATTATAATTGCAATAGCAGACATCCTAAATAACTTCTTTGCTAAAATCCATTCTTTAGGAAGAATTCACCATAATTAGATTAATAAATAATTATAACGACGTAAATATGTCGAAGATTATTAACAATATTATTAGCAATTATATGTGATGGCTTTAAATTATTATTAAACATTTGTGTGTATGTTGCAGATACTACGAATAAACACTAAATATAATGTAATTTGGGTATTAGCTCAAAACGTACCAGGAGAGGTAAATACCATGTGTTATTTGTACGATACGATTTTACCCACTAAAAAAAATACTTCGCCACATTTCCCTACATATCCACCAAATGACATAAATGCACTTCCTGAAGAACTTTACGCGGATGACGTTCACCCATTTACTGAGCCCAATATTGAATATCAATCAGAACAAGAATCGTAATTGTAATAACGTAGCAAATAAAACAAATTCCTAATAAGAGAACACGTTTTATGAAAATATAAATCTCTGAATTTTTTGGTAACCTGTTTACTCACGCGGTCAAAAGTTCAGGCAAAAATATTGCCACATTTATTGTTTATACTTTTTCCCTTACAGAAATAAGTCATAGACGTGAATTAAGCTAATAAAGAGTAGTCAATTGATTTTATTTATTCAGTAATCAATATTATTATAAATTTAACATGCCTAAAATATACACGAATCGTTTTATAAATGTAACATCACTAACCAAGACTCATCTCATAAGTTAGAGTGGAGAGCAGCATGATAAAAAGGGCTTTTTCCTCGTTGCTCTTCAATGTAGAGAGCAAGTCAATTAATTTACTACAATAATTTAGTCGGTATAATGCATGTCATTAGCTGCATTCGGTTAAGTACCGCTCCACCGAAAATTTTCACGTAATCGGAAAAGGAAACAAGGTAACGTATACATTGTTAAAAGAATTGAAAAAAAAAAAACACAGATTCTTATTTCAATAAGAAACTCTTTCGTCCCACAACTTTATCCTTTTTTTTGTTCTAATTTCGTTTTTTCTTTTTTTTTTTTTTTTTTTTCTTTGATAAAACATTGGCCATTCATAATTATGTTTTTCAATTAGCGAAACCAAATATAATTATTGATTCGGTAATGACATACTGAAATTATCACTGATATCATTGGAGTAAAAATGAAACAGAATATAAAAGGGTAAATAGAATAGCTCCAGAACGGAGTTTGTCGGGGGACGGCACAATCAGATAAGAAATAATGGAGACCCTCTCAGAACTTAAAACCTTCGTTTGAAATGCTCGTCGTCTGATCAAATTCAAATGTTGATTCTACAACGTGTGGTTCCAGATTCGTGTCATTTGTCTAGAAACATTACGAAATACATATTTTTACTGTATATTAATTATGATTAAACTAATTATTAATTACAAAAATAAAATAAATACATACGTCTTCCGAAAAGTATTGCTCAATAATTTCGTATGCTAGTTTATAAATATCTATGTTGTCGTGATTTTGCAATGCTTCAATCTTATCCAAACCTACAAAAACATACAAATTTCATAATATAAATTGAATCGATATACTTTGAAATCATGTTGTACACAACACTATTACAAAGACTAACCTGAACATTCTTCAATCATATTAGCCAATTGTTCAACTTGCGATCCAGCAAGTTTAAGCATATTGTGTATACCGTCTAAAACAACCTGTATAACTTGAGTATCTTTACAGTCAAGGAGATTACAAAAGGGTGCGATAACGCCTTCTTGTATCATCCGCGCAACCTGTTCTTCATTGCCACTTATTGTTAAATTGCTAATTGCCCATGCTGCTTCTTTTTGTGTTTGGAATTCACCCTGTTAGAAAGATAAATATATTAATGAAATAAATATACGAAATTGACAAAAGTTAACGAATTTTGACAATTTCTTACAGTCATTAAATTGTGAATAATAAGAGGCAGTAATCCAGCATCTATGACTGCTTGAACTTGAGATTGGTTACCAGCAGTTACATTTGACAGGAACCAAACTGCTTCTTTACAAATCTTTTCCCTCGAATGAGTTAATAAATTGGGGAAATATGAGAGCGCGTCGCAATTTAGTACAGTTTGTGTTTGTTCGTCTGTACCCGTTACAATATTGCCAACTGCTCTTAATGCAGCCGTTTGCACTTTAACTTCTTTGTGCGAGAGAAGTGGTATAAGACGAGGCACTACACCACTGTCTATAACCATTTGAATTTGTTCATTACCACCATCAGTCAAATAGCTCACTGCCCAAATTGTATCGACAAGAATCTGCAGTTTATCTTAGATATAATAAATTGTCTCAATAATTACCTAAATGTCTAAATAACTATATCTTACATTGATATCTGTATGATGAATAAGTACATTTAGAGCAGGCAAAATTTCCTTAATAGTTTGAACAGGTGGTGGTGGATCTTTATTTCTACATAAATTTACGATTACCCAAGTTACATTACGTAAAAAACTAATTGGTATATCCGGTTTAATAAACGTTAACAATGGCTGTACAACACCAAGCTTGATAACATAATCTCTAGATGCAGGACCATCTCCAATAATATTTCCTGGAATAGAAAGGATTGTTACCATCACGTGATGATATTAATTCTATATTAATTTACCTTACCTAAAGCCCACACAGCTTGTTCACAGACATTCTGTTGACTTGAAAGCAACAAGTGCAAGAAATGTGGAACTGCACCAGCAGCTACAACTGCTTGTGTCTGAGGTGATGTTCCACTTGCTATATTTGTTAAAGCCCATGCTGCTTCAAATTGAAGTGACGGACTGGAAAGAAATTAAAAACATAATATTTCAAAGTTTCTAAAAAAAATTATCATGTTCACATTTGATTATGTTTCTATCTTAAAAGCAAAAAATAATTACTGAAATTTTTAGAAATATGAAATCTTACTCAAACAACCCATAATCACCTGTAATCACTGTTTTACTTTCACAAAAAAGGACATATTAAATAATATTATATATTATTATCATACCTATCATGCTGTTCAAGACAATTAACTAAAATTGGTAAAATGCCACTATCAATTAATAGATCAATTGGTGGATTACGATCTGATGATAATAACTTTCTTGCTTTTTGTACAGCTTCTAATTGAACGGTTGGATCTGAACTAGCAGCTTTCATTACTAGTTCTTCTAAATCAATTTTTGACAAATCGATGTTATTTTTATCAATATCTTCTTCATCTGGAAAAAAATTTTGTTATATCAACAATACATTATTCGTCTCTCTCTCTTTAAAAATTATACCTATTAAATCTGTAATAGGCACATTTCTTCGTTTCTGTAAAGTCTCATCACGTTTATTTTTACGTAATTCCACTGTTGCCTCATTTCTTCGTCTCCTCATCTCCTAAAGCACATGATACATCATTTAAAAGTCTTCCAATCAACTGCGTAGTAGTTTCAATGTATTTTAGATGCAAATTCATTTCATAAAGGACATATAGATTAATTATATTTCTATTATAAAAAGATATTAAAATTACAGTAATTTTATTTTATTTTGAAACAGAAAATATGCATCACAATAATTTTAACAATAACTATATCTTTCTTCGTTCAAAGAAATTTAAAATATTAGAAAATAAAAATATTCTGTTCAATGAAGAGACACATGAGACACATAATAATTGTATATTTTGTATTATTTAATAATAACAATTTGTGAATTATTTTAATTTTAATAAAATATAATAATAATAATAATAATAATAAAACGCATTTTAATAAAAAAAAATATATTTAATAATACTTGAAAAGTTTTACTTATATATAAAAATTTAGAAAACCTTATTTCTCGATAGAATTTTTCAACTAACTCTATTCTGTTAGTTGCAAAAAATTTAAATAAATGTTTATTTTTTATTAAAATATGAGAAATAAAAAAGTAAATTAAAATATTACATACATTCTACAGAATGTTGAACATTCTTCATTACATTTTCTTAAATCTTTTGAATGTCTTAATTACAATAAAAAAAAATACATAAAAGTTGAAGAATAATATAATGATATTGCATAGCAAGATATTAATAAATTGGTCGTAAGGAATTGAACAAATAACTAGAATAAAGTGAAGTTAAATATATTCCATTAAGTTTCCAATAAAAATTCGTTCAGATTCATCTCTGTTAATGCTATATTTGACATTAATGCAACGACACTGTTCATTCAGAATTCGGAACAGTACGAATTCCGTGCAAAATATGATGCAGCACTTGATAGAATTATATCAAGAGTTCTCGTGCGTTCTATGCTAGTTAAATAGAGAAACATGCAGAAATTCATCTGGTAAAGAAACACCAAGGTATGCAAATAGATTGCAGAAATTTGAAAGAAAAAAAAAAGAGAAAAAGAAAGAAAGACTAGCACCCATAATAATGTTGGATTTATCCGGTTAGTACAACAGCCGAAATTTCCAGGCGCACAACGTAACTGCGCACAATGATGAACACACCGGATACTCACTTCTTGGTCTTTGCCTTTGTTCTTAAAAACCATCATTCGATTCTTGCTTTGCATTTCAGCCGCCATTTTTTTTCAATAACCAAATCGTTTGCAGTCGCTTGTATTGATATGTGCCGGCACCCGGATACCCGTGACTACTGCGAAAAATTCTGTATCCGTGTTACTGTAGTCGATTTACTTCGACAGCTGCATACCGTTGCGCGACAGCCTTAATATACGTCAATGTGCAACGGGATAATAACGTGTAACACTCGTTCTTGGATCACAATCGGTTGCTAAATAAATCTGTCTTGGTCACGTTTTCTCAGCACAAACGCAACGTTTCAGCCATTTCCGAAAAGAACATCGGAAATGAGCAAGGTGGCGCTTCGGAAGACGCGTGTGTTTTCACTATATTCACCTTCGCAGTCAGTAAAATACGATCGACAAGGAAATCGACACAGCGTTCTCGCGACGTTTGCATTGCGTATCTGCTTTAATGCTCCATTGATATTCTCATAAGCTGCGAAATTTCCAAAAAGTAGCTTGAAATTCTACAAAACGTCCAACGACGGTGGAACAGAATGATCGCGAACATCGTAATTTTGTAAGTTTGTAAGTTCCGTGACGAAATTTTGATATTGCTGTTTCACAAAAAAGATGCAATTCGAGGATCATTAATAGGAAATTATATATATTTTCAAATTTATTGGGTGTTTTGAATAAATATACCAGAGAATTAAAAACAATGACTTCTTTTAAGATTTCACTGCGTCCGCCTTAATGTGCCAATTGCAAATCTGTTCTAACTTGTTTCTAACTTGTTCTGGCGCGAATTTTAAATGTTACGAAATGTTGATATTAAAAGCGAAACTAATGTCAGAAACATTGCTACATTCTTATGTTATGTTATATTAAATTATAACTTCAACGAGAAAATTACACATCAATATATACTTTTTAAAAGGAATTAATCGACATATGGATAATATATTTGATTGACATCTACCTTTCGCGGAACTTTTTCCACAACGTGAATAGTCACGATACGGTGCTGTTCTCGAGATGATTGAACTACAGCTCCGCAGTAAGTTCTGAGAGTAAAATAATATCCAATTTCAATAGACACAATTAAAGAATATCCCAGAAAGAGACCTGCAATACCACCGAATGACACAAGTAAATCTAAATAACCAAATCGCATTTCTCTTCTATAGAGAGCTGTTGGCCAGTTTCTCAATGTGATTCGATTCGTACTTTTAGAAGACTGTATCTGCATTACATTATATGATGCATGATCGCAAGATAGCCAACAATCACATTGTGTCACGTCCGTATTAACGTGATATAAACAGGAATATTTCGAAGGCGGACATTCTGCTTTCCGATTAAACGATAAAAACCACGGTAAACATTTGCACTCTTTAAATAGCTTGTCGATGAAACAATTGATTTCACAATCGTTAGAATTTACAAGATTTATATCTTGTTTGGAGTAACATTTTCGTTGTCCAAGAGACAGATAACGAATGTCAGGAGTTGTGTATGTTATATGAACAATAAATTGAACATCTATGGGAAAATAGGCTTTTACTACCGGTCTTTCATCTGGTTTTGGACTTCTAACATTTTGTTCCGTATAATAAACCCTGCAAGTATAACAAACCCTTGCATTATCTTAATTCAAATAAATCTTGAATTCAATTTAGTAATAATTATTACTAATTGATCGTTCGTCTTTTGTGGTAAAAGAATTATTTGATTTTATTTATAAAATGATTCTCACCTTAGGGGAAAATTTGTACCGAAGATCTCAAATTCGAGACTCCATGAAGGATCTATAATTCTAAGTGGCTCTAAATTTCTAGTTTTGCAGCAAATGCCTACGGCAGTAGACACTTTTGTAAATAGTGCATTACATGATTTATTTATTCCTCTAAAAAAAGAATAATTTTATGATGAAATATATATATAATATATAAATATATATATACCAATTTATATATAATATATAAATATATATAATATATATTATATAATATATAAATATAATATATATTATATAATATATAAATATATATAATATATATTATATAATATATAAATATATATA